GAGGTTGGACACATTAAGCGTGAGACCATTGTATATGATTGCATTCATTACCCTTGAAAAAATGAAGAAAAAATATTAGATAATTTTTCGGTATAAAACATTCATTCTTTATTGATTCCTTGGTAGTTGATGGATGAAAATTTAAATTGTTCCATAAACAAACAAAAAATAATAAATGCCTTAATTATAGAGTTAGTGATAGGAAAACATTTTCAAATACTTTTATAAAAGGCAAATCCCAAGTTCGAGTGTCTTTTAATCTTGGCTTTGTTTTGTTGATCTTCTCTCAGCTGATGTTTAACGTAGACTAGAATAGAAGACAAAGTCTCATGAAACGCTACGCTATCCCATTCTCAGATATGAAAATCTATTGTGAACGAACCAGATATAAGTGACCAATAACGTCTTCTTCCTCAAGTTCGGTGTTCTAAACAGATCGGTAACATTATGGCTTCTTTTCCCTTCTTCTACGATCTGATGCTGATTAGTTTTTAGCTAAAATTATATTTGATCAATTATATTTTCTTAAGGCATTAATGATTAGATTAACCTACCAAATCCACTAATTCATCTACGTTCACGTCTGGATTGCCGTTTATTCTGGCAATTCTTTTAAGTTGCACCTTAGCTTCTTCCCATTTATTTGCGGAAACAAGCCAACGAGGCGATTCCGGGAGAAAGCTGAAAATATTCTTTCTTAAAACTAATTTTTCAATTTGCAGATATGTATGCAGTAATCATACCACACATACAAAGGGTAATCGAGAACTTACAAATAGTAACAGAAAAGTACAGCAAATGGTGCATTACAGAAGAAGGTCAGTTGACGCCATCTGAAATCGTCGAATCACCTCATAGTCACGGTTTTTCAAAATTATGAACCGCTCTTGTTCTAATTCTTCTACGGTAATACTTATTCAAGTACCATGGCTAAGACCGACTAATTGAATCTTGTGCTGTTAGTTTTAGCTCAGCCTAATTTGAAAGTATTCCTAACTATAATTGGGATGATTTGCTTCTTGAATTTTATCCTGAGTTTTCTCTTTTATGGCCTTAGAGAATGAACCGGTTATTCTTAAACTTTCCGAGCTCTGACGAAGGTAGAAGCGCCGAAACGT